AAAGGAGAAAGGTCGTCTGGAAAATCCTATTTTCTTGTTTTTAGACAAAGCAAGTGGCACGTCTAACATCCAACTCACGTGGTAAAGGCCGGTTGAGGATTTTTGAGGAAACACCAGGTGATGTTCCAGAGTTGGATTTATTTTTTCTGGGTGGAGTGTGTGGATGTGGAGTACCCCTTGTGCTTCGTTATAATATAATTTCCATTTATTTGAAAAAAAAATATGAAAGGAATTAGAATTACTTTGGATTTAGAGAATTAATTATCAAATCTGACTTTGGAGAACAAAAGAAGAGCAAAGGAATTCAGTTAGGACAATGTATGATACGGGAAGATAAGGGCTGGAAATATAAAAATATTAGAGAAATCAGAAGATTTGTTTGAAAGAATAAAATTGAAAGAAAAATTGAAAAAAATAAGTAAAGAATAGAGGAATTTACAAAGAAAGAGAGCAGATATTTAATAGACAAGGAAATGAATTAAAGTAGGGAAGGAATTAAGGAAAAGTTAGAAGGAATAAAGAGTTTGACAGAAGGAATTATGGGAGATAAATATAGCAAGGTCAAAATGAAAACTTAAAAGATAGGAAAGACTAAACCTAAACAATTAAGTTATAAGAATGAAAAGAATAAAGATTTCAACATTAAAAAAAAAAAAAATCTGGAAGAAATGAAAGGAAGGAAAGGAATTGTGTGAAAGCAAGTATTGAAGTGTGGGGAATGTGATTGTGAACGGACATAAAAGAGAAACGCTAAGATAAGAATAAAAGATTGAGGAAAATACAAGGAATAAAGATTTAAAGAGAAAATCCATAAAAAGTTCTAAAAGAGAAAAGACTCAAAGAATTAAAAATTGGAAAAGAAAATATTAAAATCATATAAAAATTCCAAAATTGAGTGAAAGAATTTAAAATTGAAATTGATAAAAAAAACAGAAAAAAAAAAGAAATTTTCATCTAGAGTGGAAAATAAATGAAAACCATAAATAACACTAATAAACGATTTTAATAAAATTATTAGGTTGATTGAATTGTTTTTCTTGAGTGATCTTCACTTTTGTTTTATAGTTGAAAACATCACAAATTTAAAATATAGCAACCATATTTCATGAAGGGCTGGGGGTGCACTCATGCCTTTCCCCACACCTAATTGCACCCCCAAACTCAGTCAATCATGACCTATCTCACCTTAATTTGGGTAGGTGGCAGCAACAATTTTTGGCCAAGGTCAACGGCTGTCAGACTTTTTTCACTTCTTCATTTTCCTAAGTAGAAGTGAGGAGATGCTAAGGATATTTGAAAGCTACTTTTGGGGCTTAAGTGTTGAAATTGCATTGACCATAGATGAATGTTTTGGACCTTGCTTCTTGTTTAAAATGGTAGTGATAAGCTAATTACATCTTCCCTAGTGAAAATAAAGGATTTAAAGTTCATTAATGGTTATTATCACAGATCTTCTGGTGGACCTCTCATTAGAATCGGGCCCTAGCATACCTTTCTTTGAGTTGTAGAATAGAAAACGAACACAGGGCACTCTTATTGCTAACGTGTCTGTCAGTAATAATCTCTTGCAATGCTTCACTTCATTTTCATCATCCCAAGACTTATTGTCCTTCAAATGTTTTCTTTCTACCTATTACTTTGCCTTTTATGAATTAAGGAACTGAAATGGGGTAGGCCCGAAGTGCATGAACTGAAAAGGGGTAGCATTAACATAAATATGGATGGGCCCAATAAGTTGGTATCATCTGTTTTTTTATACTTTTCTTTAAAATTGTTAGCTAGATTCTTTCCTATATTATCAACCACTAATTTGCAAATATCAAGTAAGACTGATCTGCAAAACAATCTGGAATCTAAGTAGAAATTATTTCTTCACTCTTGTAGATTGTTGGAAAATCTCTCAGAATGTTTTAAAAGCATGTTTTGATTTGTTTTTGAAGTGGTGGTGGGACTAAACCCGTTTTACACAAGTATGACTGATTTGAAGTGAAATGTTTTATACTTTTCACTAAATTGAGCATGCCTACTTGAAATTTAAGTGACTGTCCTGATGATCTGAAAGTGATTGTGAATTGTGATTTTCCTGTTAACTTCTGCCTGTTTTGTCTCTGATGTGGTCATGTTATTCGTGACCCTGCTAGTGGGGGAGGTTATAAACGCTAGCACATGTCGACATGTAGTGATAGAGCCGGTTCGTTCAACCCAGCTAGTGGGGGTTATACACCAGCAAATCGTGGCCCTAGTAGTGGGGATTATACACTGGTCGTGACCTATAAAGGAGATGTCTATTTCATGCCCGTACTGTATCTGTTTTCGTGATTGTACTTGTTGGCATGCTTTAAGTTTGATAAGGGGCACTCCATATTTACTTACTGAGTTTATCTCACAGTTTTCCTTGTCCACCATTTCAAGAAATGAAACCGAGGACGGGGAAACGACGGGAAGTGACGAGTTAGAAAGCTAGCCATTTCGAGATTGATATAGATTCTAGAAATCATGATCTTATAAGCTAGAGTGTACTTGGAGATTTATGATATCAGAGTAAATTTTAAAGATTTGATCTTCAGATTTTGATGGTATCAGAGTGTGATATGATAAGTTTCGAGCCTTGTGCATTTGTGGGACCCGTCTCACGAGTGCACGGCGTCTGTCACGTCTCGAAATTGGGTTTTGAGGCATGACAGATTTAGTGGTATCAGAGCTTAGGTTAAATTAGATATCTGGAGATTTAGTGGTATCAGAGCATAAGTTTAAATTAAGAGCTTAAGTTTAAATTTAGAGCTTAAGATTAAATTAAGCACCTCCAGATTGAGTGGCATGAGAGCAGATTGAGTGATATCCTAGCCTAGGTTTAATTGAATACCTAGGATTTGTTTTGGACTTGGCTAGCCAATTGATTTTAGAACCGTGGTGATATGAGTGATGGGTTTATATAAGGGACAATTCTGATTCATGTTGCCTGAATTTTCTCATCCATTTCGATGAGATGGTAATCTGATTGTTCTTGTTTCTTGCCTTCATACTTTGTGTGAAGTTGTGAAAGTAATATTGCCCGTTATGTCCTGAAGACCTTGTTTTGAAACTTGGTCATTTTCTGATAGTCTGCACTTGTTTAGACTTGTTATTTGAATGGAATTTTGTATGCTCTTTTGCCACTATTGTAAAATCTGGGGAGTTGCAGAGATTTTTTGCTACTGATCTTGTTGGTCTCTACCACATAGCTGGTGGAGAGTTTGCTCTGTTTGTCACATGACCAGTGGAAGATGGGCAACTCTCGACTTTGTAAGAGATTCCAGGCTATTTTAGCAAATGTTGTGTGTTTTCTAGCTGTGTTTTAGGAGCTGGATTACTTGGTAATTCCGTTGCTCCTTATTTTCTGAAAGTGTTATAGTGAAAATTTCACTTTTTCCATTTGGAGCTTCATGGTCTTTTCATGTGGCTCATTTTTCTATATTGGTTAATCAAGAGCAGTGATCATTCAATTGAAATTGTCATCTTTTTGTGAAGATTGGCAAGTTGTCATAAAGTTAAACTCTCTATTATTGCTAATCTCTACATTCTTGATACCTGGAACTGCTTGAAACTCTTGAAATCCGTCTTGAATCTTTCTTGATATTGCTTGTGCTTGTTCTTGAAACTGAAATCCAGAAATGGATAATGATTATCGAAATCCTCATTATCTTGATACTTGTCTGAAATTAATTCTTGCACTGTTCTTGAAATCTATTTTGAGTTGTCCTTGGAAACCATTCTTGTTCTGACTCTTGCTCTTGTTCAAATTCTGTATATTGCTCTTGCTCAAATCTTGCATACTCTGCTCGTTCTTGTTTCAGTATACCTAATGATCTTCTTGATTTTTGATTTTTGTTCATATGGACACCTCTTTAGGAGGGGTGACGATTATCAGAAGATACCTATATGAGGTATTCTAAATTCTTGTCTCTTGCAAGTGTTAAATTCTGTATTCTTGATGCCTTAGCTTTGACTTGACTCTAGGATGACTTGATAGTAAATCCGCTTAGCCTCCATGAGCTACGAGGTGAAGGGGTAGTCTTTGAAGTACTTGATGCCCTAGAGTTTTGTTCCAAGAGAAATTGTTCTTTTATTTGACTGCTTTGATTTTTGTTTGCCCTTTTAATTAGAAGATAGTAATCTTCTAAACATCTTGATCTCAGCCATTGCTTTGTTCTGTTAATTAATTCTAGTACTTGAGGTGCTAGATCTTGACATCCTGACATCCTGGTTATATTTGCTCTTGAATCTGTGTTCTGATTGTCATTATTGGAGTCTCTTGTGGGCCTAATTTTTGAAATTCTATTGCTTGTTTCATGGTTAACTCTTGTCTCTCAATTTTGATTGCTTGGTTAAATTTGATCTTGATTCTTGGTGAATGCCGTTTTGTTGTTGAATTTTTGAGGCATTCTACCTTGCACTCTTATGTTCCGGTATTCTTCCAAGCATTCATATTTTCCATTGATTTTATTCTGTTGCAGTTCTTGAGATTCTTACATGTCTTTTGATGGTCCTAGCTTTTAACTCTTGTTAATTGCTAAAATATGTTTCTTGATTCCAACTCCTTTGTTAAACATGAGCTTGTTTATTGGTTAACCTTGTTGTGGCAAAGTGTATAAGGCATCCATGCACTCGTTCATTCATTCATGATCTGTATATCCATTGGATGCTTATCCGTCTTTGATAGAGTTCAAAATTTTGTTGTACTTGTCTTTAAATCCATGCCATTCTTTGCCAACTCGTCTTGTGATGGGTTCAAAGCGTAACCCCACAACTGTTTCTTTTGTGGCCTTGGCAGGATTTATTTCTATTCTTGTGCTTTCCGTATTGCCCCAGCCTCCAGTAGCTCATTTCATGGTAAACCCTGTTAAGTAATTAGTGTTCTGCTTTTAAGATTAGTCGTGATTTGTTATTAGAGTGGCGCAGCGGAAGCGTAATAGGCCGTGTTCTGTTTCTAGAAAGTGATGAGGCAATTGTTTTGTCTTGGATTGTGTGAAGCCATTCACCACTCGAAATGATCCCCAATTTGAGTTTTAGGGACAAAACCAAAGAAGTAAATACCGTACCGTACCGGCCAGTACGGCCGGTATGTACCAGTTTTGATATTTAACCGAAACAGTATAATACTCATTTTCGTTTCGGTCAAAATCCGGTATACTGGCGAAAATTTTGTATACCGGTCGGTACACAAAATTTCGGCCGGTACACTTCAGCCCCCAAATAAAAAAAAAAAAAGATTTCCTAGCCCAAAACGATGTCGTTTTGGACTAGGGCTTTTAATCCTTGCAAATCTGCAATTTCAGATCGAACATCAAGCCAAACACTAAAGTCGAACATCGCATAGCCTTGCCCTCCGATCCAACCCTTTTCACCGGTGGTGCAGGGCGTGCAGCTGCTGCTGCTCCTCCTTCCTGTTTTGCGAATTGACGCCCTAGATCTTAGACTTGGAATGGAGATCGATTGGTGGGCTTGTAATTTCAGATTGAATCTCTGCAGGGGAAATGGTGGCCGTCGCAGATCTGCAGAAGGGAGAAGGGAGATGGTGAAGGTTGGAGGAGAAGGAACAAGGGTGATGGTGGCCGTCGCAGATCTGCAAAAGGGAGAAAGGGAGAAAAATCGAGAGGCTTTCCGTTTTTTTTTTTTGGTCTGCCGTTTCTTTCACAGTTTAAAAGAGGGAAACTAGGGTTTTTTTTTATTGTTAAATTTGGGTTTTGATGGGTTGGGCTATGGAATTGGGTTGGAACTTGAATTAAATTGTTGGTTGGCTCAATATTGGGGTGGATTTGTAGATTTGTTTTGGTAGATTTCATCCTCAACTTTTTAGTTTTTTCAATTGAGTCCTTTTCTTGTTATTTTTCTTGAATTTCTTCACAAAAATATTTTATACCGATAAATCTGAAACGGTACACGAAAAATTCTGATATCCGGTACGTACCGTTCCAGTAGCAAAATCGGTACATATGCCGGTACGGTATTGGTAACTTTGGACAAAACTCCTTTTTAAGAGGGGTGGATGTGATACCCCAAAATTTTCTAGAATATTTAAGTGAGTTAAGGACTAAATTGTGGAAAAATGCTGTTTTGGGGCTTAATGGTAAAATGTTCAAAAGTTGAGGGATTTAAAGAGGGAAACTAATTGGATAAGGATCAGTTTCTTTTCTTTTTCTTTTTCCTTCTTTTCTTCCCCAGCCATTTCCCGATTCTGCTCTTCTTCTTCCCGCTGCAGCCGAACAAAGCCCCTAAGCTGCTGGCGACTTCCTCCCTTGAAAAACCGGTAAAGCTTGATGATTTTCCCTTATTTTCTTGTACAAGAACCTGATTTGGAACCCAGAAATCTCTCCCCCCTGCAGGAGCTTCCGGATCTGCCTTGCTCTGCTTCTTCACCGCCGGCTGCTCTTGCCTTGTGGGGGCGAATTGGCTTGGTTTTTTGGTAAGAAATAGCTCGAATTCTCCCTTCTTTAGCTTTGATTTAAGTTGGGCTCCTTTAGTTTTGGGTTAAACCGTGAGTCCCCTGCAGAATTTCCCTTCCATGCCGCCAGCTCTTCCCCAAATTGTAGCTCCGGCCTTGCTTGCTAGATTCTGGTATGTGGCAGCCTTAAACCATTGTTTTTAAGCTTGATTAAGGTAGAATTAGCTTGATTAGTTTGCTGCCGTGTGATGTCCGAATTTGACAGAAAATTGGGGATAATTCCGGTAGCTTTAGGATGAGATTTAAGCACTAATTCAAGTGAATTTATGTGATTGAGTGTTAATTGATTGATGTGTGATTTTTGGAGAGAAAACCCCGTGATTAGCTAGTGTGTTGGCCAATTTTTGGAAGTGCAGTTACTGTTCACGTCGTGGTACTGTTCATGGGTACTGTTCATGGACACTGTTCACACACTGAGGGCCAACAATTAACGAGGATTTAAATGATTAGTTTGTAATATGAGAACGAATTTAGAGATATTTGATCATGTGGAGATTGATAGGAATAGCATCGGGATTAATCTTAATGATGATTTCAGTTTGAATTTGTGATAGTCCGGTATTAATTCTGAGATGTTTTGATTAAGTTCCCGATCGTTCTGTCAGTTAGTGCGTTAATTGAGTGCTTGGTTTATGCGAGTGAGGTAAGTAATTTATGGTAATGCCCGTACTGTTTTAAAAGCATGTTTTGATTTGTTTTTGAAGTGGTGGCGGGACTAAACCCGTTTTAC